TCTCTCTGTCTCTCTCTGTCTCTCTCTCCTTCTCTCTCTCTATATATATATAGATAGATAGATAGATAGATAGATAGATAGATAGATAATCTCAACTGGCCTTGGTGCAACCCTTCTTCCTCCAAAATAACACAGATCAAAGTCAAAGGTCAAATCCTTCTAATGGATTTCCTAGCTATGAAATCCTAGACAAATTACTGAACATTCCTGAGTTTTATTTTTGTCATTTGTGAAATGGAGATCTTAGAATTTGTAGCAAAGGTTTAAAAACACAGTGCATATCCTTTACACACTCATAGCTAGGGATACGAACTACTGAAACTTCTCACTTCTGTGAAGTACTGCTTATGTGTAGAGTCAACATAGTTTATTGCAATACACTCTCAGACTTATCTCTTACAAACTCAACTGCAGCGTCTTCTGCTTAGCTTTAAGATTTCTTATAAACTAGTCTGATCCAATAATCCATATTTCTCACAATTTATATTCTCTTTTCTGTGATCAATGTCTTTTCAGTTTCTTGTCTACATTATGACTAGTTCTACCTTCTCTTACCTGGGGCTCACTAGTGTACATCTAGAAAAGTCTAGGGTAGAAAGGAAAACTGAGTTCATGAGCAAACAAACAGCTGGAATGCTTCTTCCAGTTCATCCCAAATGGAAACACTGGGCAAGTTCTATATATCCTGCAGTGAACTTTTACTGGATGTCACCTCTTTGTCTGAAGGCAGTTCTCAAGGAATTTGCAGATGGTGTCTATTAGTTCCTATCAGTGGGGGAAACCAGTGGCTCAGTCCTAAAGGGGACATTTGGTAGCACACCACAGTGTCATTTATATCCATTTCATAATGTTCTCCCTTTTGTATTATATCTGAATAAAACTTTATTCCACTATATTGCCCAGAAAAAGCAAATATATGCCCAGGCTGAAATGTGTTAAATGTGTATATAATATAATATGTACTGCATTAAATAGGAAAAGTTCAGCAGGAGCCAACTGAAAGAGCTCCCAAATGGCCAAATCTAGAACAATGTAAAAAATATAAAGTGCTGTTAGATTATAACAAAGTAAACATAAATATTAATGAGCTCATGCTGTTATGAATAAATGATTAAATTAAAACAGGAAAGGAGATAAATCTCTTGTGTAGAGGAATTTTAAATAATTTATGAGGGGGGCATGTCAGAGTAGCAAAAAGCTCCATAACAAAAGAAAAGAAGAAAGAGTACATGAAGTTATCAGAAAAAAGTAATGGGAAGATATGGGAGGAGTTGGAGGGGAGGGGTGGGCATGGATTTGATCAAAATACCTATATGCATGTATGAAATTCTCAATAAATTATTTTAAAAAGAATTTTAAATAATTTATATAGCTACTCCGGCCTTCAGGAGGTGGAAAACAACTCTCTGCTTAGTTATGGGCTACTCACAGTGACTTCTCAAAAAATTCAGTGGAAAACTGTGGGGGGGCTCAAAGTTAGTGTATAGTGGAGAAACCTGACAAATACTGTCTCAGATCACTATCTATAATGATGTCATAGTGGTATCATGTCACCCTTGATATGATGCAAAGGACATGCCACTTTGGTTCTGTGGTCTTCCTCCCTAAACTATATAACCCCAGTCTAATCATAAGAAAAACATCAGACAAATTTCCACTGAAGGTCGTTCTACAAAATACCTGATACCTAGCAAGATGGCTCAGTGGGTTTAAAGCTCTTGCTTGGCAAACTTGACAATCTGAGTTCAATTCCCCAGTCCTACTGTGGAATGAGAGAATCAACTTCTGAAAGTTGTCTTTGACTTTTACACACAGACTATCATATGCTTGTACACACAGAGACACACACCAAAACAAAATACCTGATTAGTACTTTAGTACTTCTCAAAACTGTCAAGGTTGTCAACAAGGAAAGTTTAAGAAACTGTCACAACAAATAGGGGTGTGATGATTAAATGTGATGATGCAATGTAATATTATGGATAAGATTCTGGGATTTGAAAAAGATGTTACGTAAAAACTGAGGAAATAAATAATTGAAAAAAATAGAAAGTATGGACCTTAATTGGCAATAGTGTATCAATATTGGTTCGTTAACTGAAGCAAATGTACTGTAGTAACCTAAGATACTAACAGCAGGGAC